CGTGCATTAAGATGATAGGCTTAACCCTACTCGATATGCGTCCTCATGAAGAGAACACAGAAGTTAAGGGCACCACAGCAAAGTGTGGTGAAGAAACTAGATGGTGCCCAGCTATCAAAAAGTCCTTGGGCTCTTAAAGGCTTGTTTCTAACCAACAACTGTCTAAGTGAGAAGCAAACTAAGCCCACTTAGAAGAAGCCTGTGTGATGCAAGGATTGTAAATTGATCTGAGGGAGGGAATGATATCAGAACTTCTCTTGTGGAGACCTGGTTTGCAGAAGGCTTGGGATGACAATGGAAACCCCAAATCCATTTGCAGGATCTACACATAGAATAAACCTCCAGTGAGTTCCCTCTGATCATAATCAAGGAATGAGAATAACCTGGTTATCAGACAAACTGTATTATAGGGGTGACTATAGTAGTTTAAAACGAAACATCTGATTTGAATGGCTAAAATGTAACATCTGACCTGATCCCATTTTTGACACATTTAAAAGTTCTAACACATAAAAAAACAACCAAAAAGCAGAAAGTGAAATGCATGTGGAAGAAGTCTCCAGCATATATTTCCTCCGAACATGCATGTGAACGGGGATGTGAATGGCCTTGGCATTGCTGGGAACATTGTATTGGAAATCGGACTGTGACAGATGTGACTAGGGTATGATCCAGTACGTTATCATTTGATCTCTGTTTTGACACATTTCATGATTTCGCTAGTTCATAATAGTTCCTCTTTTCTTTCTAACTGGGGTTTATCTCTATTGCATTTTGTTAATGTTGGTAGCCTTTTTGCCTCTTTGTTATTTTAAAAAAACATTTTTTTTGGTAGATGAAACTCAGAATGGGTGAATATAGAGGCAAAATGGATTTATGGTACCTTGACGGTATGAAAGGGAAGATGGGGAGAAAATGAGCTGATACCAAGGGCTCAAGTAGAAAGAAAATGTTTTGAGAATGATGATGGCAACAAATGTACAAATGTGCTCGACACAATGGATGGATGGATGGATTGTGATAAGAGTTGTACGAGCCCCAATAAAATGATTTCAAAAAAAGAGAAAACCATACATCCAGTAAA